GCCGTGATGGTTGCGGCTTCATCTTCGGGCGGCGCCTGGAGACAGACGGCGGCATTGCTGCCGGCGAGTCCGTAGGAGGCGGCGAGTGCAGTGGCGTTTGGTGGCAGAGGGCCTCCGCGGAGGTTGAAGGCGTGTGGTCCAGCGAGTTCGTGCCACTTGGCGAAGCCCAGGACGGGCCAGACAGTGCGTTGGCGGAACTGAAGTAGGCAGCGCAACACCTGGACGATGCCAAGGGCGCCGTTGGTGTGTCCGTAGACGGGATGTGCGGCGGTGAGGTGGAGCGACGCGCGTTCGCCGAAGACTTTGGCCAACGCGGCGGCCTCGACGGCGTCACCGAGCGGGATGCCGGTGCCGTGCGTCTCCACAAAGTTTACGTTCTGTGGTCGTAGTCCCGCATCCGCCAGACAAGTGCGCAACAGCCGCTCCTGACTTGGGCCTTGGAAGTAGACGATGCTGTACGCCTTCGTGTTGCTCGCCGCCGCCACACCCTTGACCACGCCAAGACACCGTGTCGCTGACTGCGTCAATCTGGCGCGGTAAGCTGCTGCACCCGCCAGCATCACACACCCTGCCGCTTCTCCACGGATCGTACCCGCCGCCTCGGCACCGAAACAATGTAAACGTGCGCCGTCCGTCAAGTATTTCGCCTGCGCAAACGCTGACGCCATGTACTGCGACAGAATCAAGGCCGTACCACCCACTAACGCATACTCACACACTCCTGCACGTACGTCTCGCACAGCCGCCGCCAACGCCACGTTTGAACTCGAACAACCCGTGTTCAAAGACACCGACGGACCCGCCAACCCGTACGCGTAACTCAGACGCCCACTCGCCACTGAAAATGACGTCCCGCTCAACGGCCAGAATCTCGAGTTTGGGCCCGCTCCGACAAACTGCTTCCCCTCCCCCACCAACGACCGAGCCATTAACATCCACTCCGCGTCCGTGCAACCAACGTACACACCAGTCGACGACGGCACCGCCGGCTGGCCCCTTGGATTATAACCTCTCGGGCCATGAGGTTTTGGGCTGCCAAGGCAGAAGCCTGCGTCATGGAGACAGCGCAGACTCGACTCCAGCAACAGGTAGTTCTGCGGGTCCGTAACTTCTGCCTCCAGGCGGTGCATGCGGAAGAGCGCCGGGTCGTATTGCATGCCCGGCTTCTGCAGCGTGTTCCCCACCGTCTGATAGCTGCCGAGCATGCCGGGGTCTTCCGCATAGGGAGCGTAGCTCAGCCAGGCGTTGTAGCGCGAAAGCGGCAGTTCCTTGCACAGCTTGGGCAAACCACCTTGGGCCAACTCCTGCTCCACCGCGAGCATGTCGCTCAGCGAAGTCACATCGACATCATGCAATCCAGGGAGCTTCACTCCCGCGCCAACGATGTACACGTCACGACTGTCACCACTACCGGTGGCTTGCAAAATACGACCAGCATAGAAATCCACATACGCGTCCACCGGATCCGAGAACGAGTCAATGAACTGACCCACCGTGTCGTACTCATACAGTTGAGTGAACCTCACCTCCACGCCCAGCTCGTTCTCCAACATGAAACGCAACTCCGTAAACTGCAAACTGTCCACATCCTGAAACAAGTCCGCCAAACTCAACTCACGAATTTCCTCCACCGAGCCCGGCAACTCAGCGCCCACGATCTTCCGCAACACACTCAACGCCTTTGCGTCCATAGCCTCCTTCCCGGACGCAACTACACCAGGTGCCACCTCCCCCGCAAACAATTCCCCACTTCGTAGCTCCCCCATATCTGCATCTCCGATGGACGGAAGACTCGTGGCTGGCGCTGGAGCTGGGGCTTCGCCATACTTGTACTGTTTGCTGTGGTCCCACACACACACGCGTTTCCGGGTGTACTGTTGCAGGGCGTCCATGGTTTCGAGGTAACTTAGTCGCGGTGACAAAGGGCAGCTGGCAGTGATCTCCGCGCTCGCCTTTTTGGCCAGCGTGGTCAAGATCGGTCTCGGACCAAGTTCCAGGAACTGTTTGCACTCTTTGGCGGCCTCCAGAAACGCTGATTTGAAGAGCACCGTCAGACGCATTTGGCGGCGCCAGTAGTCGCCTTGGCGCACTTCCTGGAGGTCGGCTTGCTTGCCCAAAAGGGTGGAAAAGAACTTGCGTCCGTTTCCCTGAGAAGTGTGCTTTGTTCGGTCAAACAACTTCTGCGCGTAGGCGCCAAACTGCGTCGAAGCCTTTTCCACAAACGCCGAGTGGTACGCGCCGCCCACGTTCAAAAACACCGTCTTGCACTTGGTCACGCCGTTGCCCGCCTTGGCGTCCATGCGCGCAATCAGGAGCTCGATCTCCTGTCGCGATCCGGACACGACCGTGTTTTCGTCGCCGTTTTCGGCCGCAATAGCGAGCGTAGGCAAGTCCGCCGTCAGCAGCGCCTGCACCGCGGCGCGGCCCTCGAAGAATGCGCACATGGTTCCGTCCGAGGCCTCCATTTCCGACATGAAGCGCGCGCGCGCGCTCACAAGCGCCAGCCCTTCCGCAACGGACAGGAAACCGGCAGCCACGCACGCCGCTAACTCGCCCGTCGAGTGACCCAATACGCACGTCACACGGATGCCGCAGCTTTCGACCAAACGTAGCAGCGCCGCCTGCAGGACAAAGATGCACACCTGACTCATCCCCACCTGGTCCAACGACGGCGCCGTCGGGTCGGTCTCGGCCCGCTCGGTGGCGGGGAGGAACCCAAAGGGGCTCTTGGGCACGTACGCCCCACCTGCAGCGCCTGCCACGGGCGTGTTGACTCCCGATGTGTTAACTCCCGACGTGTTAACTCCCGACGTGTTAACTCTCGGCGCGTTCTCGCCAGCCCGGGGTGCGTTGGATTCGAGCCAGACTTGTTTCACGTCGCGCGCGAGTTCGGGCTCGAGTGCAGCGACCAGTTCTGCGACGTAGTTTCTGAACTCGGCATTCTTTTTAAGCAGCGTCTTCCCCATAGCCGCGTACTGTGCTCCCTGGCCGGTGAAGAGGAGTCCTACGCCTTGTTTGCAGCGTTGCGCGGTGCGCCGCAATTTCTCCCCGACTTCGAGCACCGCATGTGCATTGGTTCCGCCGAAGCCGAAAGAGGAGACGGCCGCGGCCCTGGTCTGAACGGGCACAGGACGTTCGGTGACAAAGTGTGCGTGGTTGAGACGGATTCGCGGGTTCAGTTGCTTGAGATGTGTAAGCGGGAAACAAGTCTGCCGACTGAGTGCCGCGATCGCGGCCAAAACGCCCGCGAGCCCCGCCGCGCCCTCTGTGTGTCCCACATTGGTCTTGATCGAACCCACTCGCAGCGGTTCGCGACGAGCGCTGAGGTACACGGCGGCAAAAGAACTCGCCTCCACCGGGTCGCCCAGCGCAGTACCGGTCCCGTGTGCCTCGTAAATTCCGACACTCGCCGGTTCGAGTCCACTCGCGCCCAACGCCTCGGCCAAACACCGTCGCTGACTCCCCCCATTCGGCGCCGTCAAACTCGCCGCCACACCACCATGCCCAACCGCCGCACCTCGCACCAGAGCATACACCTCACCCGGCCCGCGCACACGTTCCAGATAAATCGCACACACTCCCTCACCTCGCCCGTAGCCATCCGCGCGCGCGTCGAATGCCTTGCACAATCCGTCCGGCGACAACATGCCCGTCGCCTGACAAGCCGCAAAAACGCGGAACGACAAGCACAGGTTCGCGGCTGCCACCACACAACCAGCCTCCTGGCCCTCTCGCAGCCGCCGCGTCGCCAGGTCGAGGGCGACCAACGACGATGAACATGCCGTGTCCACCAACAACGACGGCCCCGTGAACCCGAGGTGGTACGACAACCGGTTCGCTGTCATCGCGTCCGCGTGTCCCGGCGTCGTGTACGTCGACAACTCCCGATCGCACAACTGCCAGTCCAACGAACACTTACCCACGTATACACCCACTCGCCGTCCCGCACCCATAACCTTAGTCTCTACGGACTTGCCTCCCACGGTCTCCACCACGGACTTCGTCTTGCTCAACGGCTCGCCGCGAAGTGCCTGGCCGGAGCCCAGATCGATCCCGGCGTCCAGCAGCGCCTCGCAACTAACCTCCAGCAACTGCCGCTGCAGTGGGTCCGAGGCATTCGCCTCGGCGTCGCTGGTGCGGAAGAAACCGCTGTCGAAAGCCGCAACCTCCTCCGCCGCAAACAGCCCCGCCGGGAGCTCGGCCAGTTTCGCACACGCGGCCAACTCCGCCGGGCCGAACCGCCCAGAAACGGAGATCGCGTTGTTCCGGCCGGCCGCCAGGAAGTCCGCCAGAGCACTAAGGCTGCGCACTTCACCCGGCAATCTCACACCCACTCCCGTCACGCCCACCAACGGCCCCGGCTCCGTCGCCACCGGCACCGCCACCGGCACCGCCACACGCGCGCCTTCCATCTCGCAGTCGAGAGATCCCACGTACGCGCACGACGGCGATAGTAACGTCAGACCCACCGCCACTCCGCCACCCGCCTCCTCTCGACACCCGCCAAATGCGTAGAAACCGCCCAAAGGGGATCGGTCCAAACGGGATGGCTTCCAGTGGCCCTGCTGCGCGTCCTTCTGCTGCTTCAACGGGTCCCGCTGGTCCAGTTGGAAACGGAAGCGGTAGGAGCGTGGTTTGAAGCCCGCACTCAGGCCACTTGCCACACTCTCCAGCTCACTCCAACTCGCCACGAAACACACCACGCCGCTGTACGACCTCAGCGGCAACCGCTGCTCCAACTGCGCAAAAGTAGAAATGTTCTCGTCCACCCGCCGGGCCTGCGCCAACATCCGTTCCCGCCAACTTGCCGGGTCCGATTCTATCCACTCAGACACGGGCAACTCGGTAATCACACCCACGCGACCGTGCGGGTACTCCGACTCTATCAACGCCGCGTTCTCTGCCAGACCTTTTTCCATCGCCAGACCGTCCGAGACAAGACCTTCTTGCTCGCCACCGTTCGGGATCGGGATCCCATCGAAACACAGGTTAAAGGTGCGGGGCAGCTTGGTCGTCGTGATTTCGACGTGTCCGGTGCCAAACCAACGAGGAAGGTCCTCAACGATCACTCCCAAACAGTACCGGACCCCGTTGCTCAAACGAATTTCCTTTGGCTTCGGCTGATCAGGACCATCCGACAGAACGACCGTTTTCTCATTACCAGACTTCCTCTCCATACCGGACTTCACCAGCATACCGGGTTTCCTCTCCATACCCGACTTCCCCACTGTATCGAAAAGCTCCTGGGTCGGTGTAGGAAGATTCGCCCAGATCGCCGAAGCCCAGTCGGCGTCAACGTCCACTTCGATTGTGAAAGGGTGGGACCTCCGTGCCACCAAGATCATGCGGTTCAGCATCGCGGCATGCTTCGAACCGTCGTCTATGAGGTAAGGAGCAGGCGTTTTCGCAACTGGGCTGGGTCGACACTGCACTTGACACCAACCCTCCTCGCACTCGACGAAGCCAGTGTACGTCTCGCAGCTAAACATCCAAGCGGCCCGACATAGGTCAACGACCGAGCTGTACGCCACATGCTGCGCCGAGTCAGCTACAGGTGAAACAACGTAGTGCAGGTCTTGCCGGTTTGCGTTCAAACTCTCCACGCGCACATTCATGGCCTCTTTTTTCGTGTGTGTCTCGAACAACGCAACACAGTCGTACAGCGACGTAATGGTCCCCGTGAAGAACCTCACCTGCTTCACATTCACTATATGCAACCTTTCCTCTTCCTCTCCTTCCTCTCCTTCCTCTCCTTCCCGTGCAACATGAATTAAGTCGCAACCCTGGAACGTCTCCTTGCAGACGTCAGACACGACCAAGTCAATCGTAGCCCAGGCCTTACTCAAACCAAATGACCCGATATGCACGCTTTCAGGAAGCGTTCCGGAGACCGCAATGCCACCCGCCTCCGAGTCAATAATCACGCTTTCCACGCCCACATATCTGGCGTACTGAGCGACCTTCGTCGCCTCTATAAAGCTTTGCAGACTCACAAACAAACACTTGTGCCCCGCCAGCAAACTCTTCGCACCCAGCATCCTCTCCTCACCACCGGCCTTCTCACCACCGACGGACCCGACGGGGCGCAGCAGGGTCTTGTTGATGGTAATGAACCGACCGGCATCGCCTCTCCAGTCAAACTGCACAAGCTCCGGCTTCGTCGAGACCGTCATGCCTGTTACCAGACCGTCGTTTCTCTGTGTAAGCACTGACACACACTCCTCGCAGACCGTGGGAACTCTTTTCGGCAGAAGCTCCAAAAACTCGACAGCCTCACCGTCGACGGCTTCATCCCCAGATGACAGCGACGCGCAGCGGTACCTCCAAACCGGTTCGGTCGCGGCCACCGGACCCAGCGCCACGCCGTCCAGCCGGTAGAGATTCATGTACACCGCGTACTCCCTCACATTACCCGTGGTCGTGCGGACCGCCGACACGACGCACGGCCTTTCCCACGCGTGCCACTCGGCCGTGCGAACCTGCACAATGCTCTGGAAACTGGTCCAAGCAGCCAGAATTTGTTCTGCGCTTTTCTGTGCTGCGTCCCCACAGGTGTCGTCCAGTAAAGACATCAGCAGCGGTAGCGACCAATCCATGTAAACAATCCGGTCCAGGCCTGTGTAGAACTCCGCCGTAACGGATTTCCCCGGAATAACGGAGATCCGCTTTAGCCACTGGAGCTCCTCAGGCACCACCACGTCCAAATTCGTTCTGGCCGCCGTGTAAAACGCGTCCGGTGAAATCTGGACCTCCTCCGCAGCACCCGGCTCACACCCACGCCACGCGGCGCCGCCGTCGTGTAACCCACTCGTCCCCGCCTGTTCCGCAACATCTGGCGCAAACCAAGGCTGTGTGACCGCGCCCCGCTCCACAACCTCGTAGACAAGAGTACCCAAGTGCAGATCCTTGCCCAAGTAGACCTGGCACCGTTGGAGTCCACCTGACCCAACTTCCCACGTGTCTTCCGAAGTCCCTTCCGTCGTCTCTTCCGTTACTCGTTCCGTCCAGAAGGTGAGATCGGTGATAAGAGGGTCGTCGTCGCTCAGGTCGATGACGTTCTTCTGAACCAAGCCGCGGAACTTCGAAGACTTATTCCCCGCACTCCCGTACAGCCGCATCTCCGCGTCCAGCAGCAACACAAATTGCGAAATGAAGATGAAATTCGCGTTCCGGAATCGGCAACGTCGGGCCGCCGCCAAACAGTCGCGCCGCAGCGCACAGACGCGGAACCGTTCGCCTCGGGGCGCTGCGAATACGCGCCTCGTGAGCAGCGGCGTACTCCATGCGTCGAGCACCGCACGGCAGCTCTCGACCCGCCCAGCCTCGCTCACCACCAGCTCCTTCGCTGGCTTCTTCGCCGGCGGGTCCTCCTCGGTCGGCGCGTCAGTCGTTACGGTCTCAACTGGCCGGTCGTAGACGGCTTCCTGGGCGTCCGCCTGGGCCTCGGCCTGGGCGAGGAAGGCGGCGCAGGCTTCGGGGTGTGTCTGTACGAGTATACAGGCTGCGTGGTCGGTGGCCAGTGTCGACTGTGCAAAGAGGGTGGCGCCGGCGGGTGCAAGATTGAAGGTAACGGGGAAGAGAGTGGTGTCGAGTGCGGGGTGTAGAGCGCCGTAGCTCTCGCCGTGGGCGCCCGTTTGGGCGCAGCCCGATTGCCCAACTGCCTTGGCTAGCGCGAGTAAGGCACTTGTTTGGGGTCCGAGCCAACCGACAGCACTGGCTAGCGGACTGAGCGTGAGCGGGTTGTCGAACCGTCGCCGTCCATACACACTCTTGATCCCGGCGAACTCCTCCAAGTCCGCACGCGGCTCACCCGCCCCTCCCAACTCGACCAACGCCACTTCGCGCGCTGACACACCCCCCTCCGCCAATGCACGTGCGTGTGCACGCGCCACCACCACCCGGTCCGGCTCCGCAGCCGGTTCCTGCGTCGCCGCCAAGACCGTAGCCAGCGCCTCTCTCGCCGCCTGCTTCGACAATAGCACAGCCACGGCACCCTCGCCCAACACCAACCCGTTCGCGCAGTCCGCAAACGGCTTCGACCTCAAGTCGGCCGCTAACACCCCGGCTCGGAAACACGACGCCACACACTCCGGCCATACCGCCTGCACCGCCACCACCACCGACGCCACCTCCGCCGCCGCAGCCAACGCAAACGCGTGCACCACCGAATGCGCCACCACGTGCACTGCCACCGACGGCAACCCCATCTCCGCCAATGGAACCCCACCGTCCACACATTCCACTAACTGCCAACGTTCAGTAGGTGCCAACTTCCCCACGCACTCTCCCAGCAAACCCGCCACGTCCAACTGCAACGGACGCGCAAAGTAACTGCCCGGGTACCGCAGCCACTCCGACCACACACGCTCCCCCTCCCGCGCGCACATCTCACTCACCAAACTCAAAGGCGGCTCCGCCACCAACAGCGATTCGCCCTGCTGCATAACCCGCAACAAGTCAACCAACCCCCCCGCTTCATGGGCCGGCCCATTGGCGCCAGCCGGTGGGCGCGGAAGCCGGACGCAGACATGCAGAATGTGCAGTCCCAGCCGTTTTGTGATGTCCGATGTTGGTTGCTGCGTCGCGACAGTGTCCTTGAGGTGCGCGATGATTCCGTTCATCGTCGGGAACTCGAACAAAATTTGCGGGTCGAGATTGTAGGAAATGCGAGCACCCAGTTCCTGCAGCACCTGCACAGCTGTCAGGCTGTCCAGACCCAAGTCGAACAGCGGCGTGGTCAGCACGTCCTCGTTCCAGGGCTTGTTGGGCATGTACTTCTTCCAAATTTCTTGCAACAACCGCTCGAAGTCCACCTGCACGGCCGGACTTGGCAAAATAGTCTCCACAAGCGTCTCGTCCTCGTCTCGGTCCGAACCCGTCGGCGGCGGCGGCGGCGTGTTCAGGTCCTCCTGACTCAAGCCGTCCAACTCACTTAGCGCCGTCCCTACTCGGCCTCCACCCATTCGGTTTCCACTGGCCGTACCCTCCTGGGCGGTGACGTCTTCGCTGGAAACGCCCTTTTTCATGGCTCGAGCCTGGTGGGGTCTGCAGGCCTGAATGTCCTCGGGGCAGTACAGCACGTTTTTCAAGATGGCGGGGTCCTTGGCGAGCAGTTGGTCACGGATCATCGTGCGACGTAATTTGCCGCTGCTGGTCTTGGGCAAGGCGCCGGGTCGGCAGAGCCAAACACCGGCGACTTGGAGGCCGATGAGTCGTGAGACAGCGCCGACCACCCGGTCGACGACCGCGATCACCGCGCTCTCCTCGAACTGTTTCCCTTTCCAAACCGAAGATAGCGCGGCGCCGATGGACTTCTTGCCCTGGAGTAAGAACTCGCGGATCTCCACCGCGATCGCGCACTTCTCCTCACCCTCCTCCTCGATCGCAAAGGCCGCCGTGCAGCCCGCCCGGATTTCAGGGAGCGTTTCCACACAGGCTTCGATGTCTTGTGGGAAGTAGTTGCGTCCGCGGATAATCAACATGTCCTTAATGCGGCCCACGATGTACAACTCACTGTACAACCGGAACCCCGCATCGCCCGTACGGAAGAAGTGTACACACTCGCTCCCATCCAGATTGACAAACGCGTTGTCGAACGTCGCTTGCGTCAGCTCCGGGTTCCCGTAATACCCCTTCGCGCGCGATGGCGAGTTAAACCAAATCTCGCCCACCACGCCATCAGGCACCTCGTGCCTGGTCTCTGGGTTGACGATGTGCACACACACACCCGGCATCGGCTCGCCGCACGCGTATAGCGTCAGGCACCCAGCCTTCTCCCACACGTCGATCGACAGACCCTGCTCCGTATCGTCCAGGACGTGGTGTGCCTCGGGGAAATCTTTCTGGCGACGACCGGCCAACTTGCGCGCCGTCAACAGGACCTCAGGAGGCAACGATCGCCCCAGACACTCCTCCAGCTTCGGCTGCAATGCGGCCATGTCGGGGAACTGCACGAGCCCTTCGTCTCGCAGTACATTGCTGTTGACCACCAGAAACTTCGGCACGGAGTAAAAGGACCTGGGGCCCGAACAAATCAGAGTATTTTCCGCAAGTCCATACGCCGGCCGGATCGCATTAGGGTTCAAGCCTTTCGGTCCGAACTTAGCCATAAACGCGCACATCGTGTGGCGCTTGATGGGCTCCGCACCCGACAGGAGTCCGGCAACCCTCGTTAAATCAATTTGGTCATAGATATCCGGCGGCATTTTGCGCACCGACAGCTCGAACGCGAAGTTAGGCGCAGCCGAACACATGGCGTGGAACTTGCTCATGCAGTGCAGCCAAGACCAGGGCTTCTTAATAAACTCCAGCGGCGACATTTGGTAGACACACCCACCAAACAGCGCAGGGGTGCACACGAATCCGATCAAGCCCATGTCGTGATAGACGGGCAGCCAGCTGAAGACCCGACACTCATGCCCGACGCTCTGTAGGTGAATGGGTTGGCGGAAGAAATGCAGCCAGTTCTCGAACTCGGTGAAGGGCACGGCGTCAATGCTCGAATGCACAGTCGGGTCATCGAGGTGTGTGGGGAAACCGAAGGTGGAGATGCACAAGTGGCAGTTGTGCAATAGGCCTCCCAGACTGACCATCACGCCCTTGGGCTGCCCTGTGCTGCCCGATGTGAACTGCAGAAAGGCCGTGTAGCCGGGGTCCAGTGCAGGCAGGCGGTAGGAGCGCAGCAAATCGTTCAGGAAGGACGTGCCCACCTTTCGGCGCAATAAAGAACTCGTGTTGTGCCATTGTAGCCGCTTCCACGCCTCAGGATTCTGGCGGTACAACGCGGGCAAAATCCGGGTCACGTTGTAATATAAAGCGTTTGTCAGTGCGTGTGTGACGGAAGCCGTCTCGCAAATGGACAAGAAGCGTTGACAGTCAAATGCCGCTCTTGTCGGATCCGGTGGGTAGACAGGGATGGCGACCACACCATTAATCAAACACGCGAAGAAGGCGGGAATAAAGTCCATGCCCGGTGGGTAGCAGAGAATCACACGGTCCTGGACACGCAGCTGCAACTCATTCCGCAGATAATCCCCGATTATCAAAGCCCGTTCCAACAGGTCCGAAAACAAATAGGTCTCCTGTACCTCCCCATCAGCACTCACCCACTCAAATGCCACCCGCTTCGGCTGAAGCAATCCAAACTTCATCAACTGGTGTCCAAACGGGTTATCATCTCCACCAAAGTTCGCCCACAATGTCGCCAAGTCACAGTGCTGCGTCGCTCGCGACGGTACCGTACGTGTCGCCTCAGCCGGTGACAGATCCTCACCAGCCCGCTCCGTCCGCGGTCGCCACGCTGCCGGATCCGGTGACTCACGCGGTGACAAATACGCACTCGACGCCGGACTCCCATCCGGCGCAGCCAGTCGGTGCTCAGCCAGTCGGTGCTGCAATGTATCCGGAAGCCTCATAGCAAACCGAAAAATATCACAGCAAAAACTTGATCTTTACCGTCTGCGTCAAACCCACATAGCAATCCGGCCCCACCCACAGACTTAGGTCCAGTGCCGTCCGCCGCCCAGCCGGCAGCGAAAAGGTTAAAGAAGTCCGCCCGCTCCGCGTTTTCACAAAGTCCACCAACTCGTCTGCCGCAACATCTCCCAGACCGTACCACCATGTCAACACCCGTCGTCGCGGCCACCGCGGTGTATACGCCAAGTCTGGGTCCACCGGCTCGGCCGGCGGCTCGCCTTCGCAAGCCCAACCGCGGTGGTTCGAACGACTGATTCGCAACTGCAACACGTCTGCCGCACACACCGCAAACCGCACCCCCTCTTCCTCAACCCCCTCCTCCTCCAGCCGCTCCACCGGCTCCCACTCCTCCTCCTCCTCCTCGCCCGCACGCCTCCAGAGTGAGACCTCCAGTTTGGGCCGCGGCAGCATGCGCACGACCTGGTCGAACTCGGCCCACTGTGCGTTGGCCCAACCTGCGGCGAGCAGACTGTCCCGGATTTTGCGGCGGTCGCCGTAGAGCACCTGTGCGATAGTGGACGCGTCAGCGGCAACGAGCGCCTTGTGATGCCGGAATTTGGTCACGTGCGGCAGACAGTAGAGATCGGAGCGGAAGGGGTTGGTACTTTGCGAGACGCACTGGAGAAAGAGAAGCAGACTACGCCAGCCACTGAGGCAGCCAACTTCGCGACAAATATCGGCCATTGCCTGAATCAAACGCATACAGGCCGCGACCATGCTCATCGAGTCCACCCAGTAGTCGTGCACAGGCGGTTTCAGACGCCACATTATCATCTGGAAGAGCGCCAATGCCTTCTCCCCGCCCTTCGTGATGCGACTCACGTCCAGCGGCAACAACAAGGTAGAACGGTGCCACATGAGGTTGCTCTCATCCTCCGAATGGCGCACGGGCACATAGGACATCTCCACGCAGTCGCAGAGTAGTCGGATAACGGTGTAAAAATTAAACACCTTATTCTCCGAAAACCGTTTGGCCAACAACGCCACTGTGGCGTGCGAAATGTAGTACAGACTGCAGATCCGTCCTAACCCAGTCGGCGCCAATCGAACACGGTCACAGAAGGGTATGTCTACACGGTCGATTAAATCCAAGTCCCGGTCGTCGTCGTTAATCGTAATCTGTACACAACCTGCGTCCTGAAGTCTTAACACCGTCCGGCTTATGACCCGGTCAATGTAACGAGCAATCTGTTCCTTCAACATCCTCTGCACATCGGCTTTGCTATCACCCTCGTCGAATAACGTCATGTCCGCACACAACTCCTCATCGTAGTAACTCACGTTGTTCAGCACACGCCGGAAGAAGTACGTCCACGACAAAAACTCGATCGCGTCCCGCTTACTCCGTATTGTACCACTCACAATCTCCGCATTAAGATGCTCCGTCAAGTGCTCATGCAATGATGACTCCACAGGGAACGGCTCATACAAAAACCGCCGGTAATATTGCTTTTTATTCTCACACAGGAACACACAGGCACTCGCCTCCGTATCGAATTGCGGCCGACCCGCACGACCAATCATCTGCAACACCTCCGTAATCGCAATATCCACGTACTTACGCGTTGCACCGTCGTAGTACTCTGTACCCTTCAAAATCACCAATCGCGCAGGCAAATTCACACCCCAAGCCAAGGTACTTGTCGCCACCAACACCTGAACCTTGCCCTCCAAAAACAGCCGCTCGCTCAACTGCCTGTCACTCACACTCAATCCGGCGTGGTGCAAACCTACACCCCCCTTCAGACACTCGACCAGGTCCTCATCCTCCGCCTGTTGCTCCACCCGATTCTCGTACACCGCCTGGTCCTCCTCTGGGCAGTGCAAAAAGCTCAACGGCGGGTCGTGCGTGCGACTCAGCCACAACAACTCCTTGCCCGTAATGCGGACCTGTCGACGCGAGGACACAAACACCAACACCGGCTTGTCGATCGAGTGCTCTAAAATGGCGGCGAAGGCCGGTTTGTTCATCGTACCCATGCGCTTGCAATACGCCGCCTCACTGAAACCCTTGACGAAGATCGAACAAGGCACTGGCCGCACACACGGCCGGAAATTGAAAACCGCCCTCTTGTTGACCCCAATCCAACGGGCAATGTCCACGGCATTAGCTAAGGCTGTACTCAGACCCACAAAACGCGTCTCAATGTCGTGACATAGGATCGAAATGTGCCGCATCCGACTCACAATCATCTCCAGAATCGGACCGCGATCCGCACCTAACAAATGAATCTCGTCCACGATCATCAAGCCCACTTCTCTCACGTAATCACGATGCTGCCAATGACGACTAATACCGTCCCACTTCTCCGGAGTCGTAATAATCACATCCGCACGTTTCAACTCCGCCAAGTCAGGAGTCAGGTCACCAGATAACTCCACCACCAGCTTCCCAATATTGCTCATCCTCACTGTCCAGTCCTTCAGCCGTTCTTTGCCCAAGGCTTTCAGAGGCGCGATATAAATGCACTTCCGCTTCGGCTGCGTGTTGAACAGACGCAACAAAGCCAGCTCGCCGCAAATAGTCTTACCCGCACCCGTGGGAGCGCCCACCAGAGAATTCTGGCCGGTGTGGTACATGCAATAAAACACCTGGGACTGAATGGGGTTGAAGAAGCTAAAGCGGTAGAGAGATTCGTACCTAGAATTATTCAGAGCCGACTTGTGAATCGGAGACAACGGCAGCAGATCTGTATGCAACTGGTTGTAATTAGGCATGAGCATGTTATCCAGCTGGAACACAACCGTGCAACTCACATTCACCCACTTATCACTAACCACATGTAACATATACTGCGGCGGTCGCGGGTCTCGGAGTGGCACGTTGAATTTTATAGTAATTCCTAGATCCTCAAATATGCGCTCTCGGTCACTTCCATAAGTACTGCCAACTCCCAGACCATCCCCGCCAGTCTTGTTGCCTCCGCGGTTACGACCAGGTATTAGATTCCGCGGAATTATCGCCACGTTCTCATGTTTCAGCAACAAATCCTCAGCATGAAGGATGTCCTTGGTCACCGGATTCACCAAAATAATCCGGAAACTCTCGCCTTTACCGTGATATCTCGGGTTCCACTCAAATATAGGCACCAGCCGCAACGTGATGCTGACAATTGCAAACGTCACGGGTACAATCTTGCAATCAATTTCGAAGTTCGGGATCTTGCGCGCCAATTCGAAAGAAGCGCGCCCATCCGCCGGAGTTCTTGTCAAGTAACTCAGCTCGCTGACAGACAGCGCTAGTAAATCCTCAAAGGCGTACCCTGCTAAGTGGCTAACGGCCCTCGGAGAAACCACTAGAGCATCCTTCTTCGATTTCCTCGTGCGATCATTCGATTTAATAAAGTGCGCTAAAACGTTCTCAGTCGGTAGCACACGTGTGTGCAGCGCATTAGACCACGTCAAAGCAGCCAAGGCAACCTGAGAGGTACCCATCTGGCGAATAAAGCATATCTCGGTGAAGGCTCTGAGCAGACGACCGTATGACTGGGTCACAAAGTTCAGGTCTGTGCCCAGAGAGAAAGAGGTGGGCCATCTTTCTTCCAGCCACATGAGAACAAGCAGCGCAACCTTGGTTTTGACCTCATCGACAGAAGTGTTGATGGCTATGGGCGCCTTTTGTTTGTAAACAGTTAGTTCCTCTATTTCCTCGTCGCGGACTCTTAAAGACTCGAATTCATCAGCACCGGCAACGAGCAATAGAATTCGATGGGGGCTGGGGTCATCCACGAGGCCAGTGGAGAGGGCTTTGTTGAAGGCGTCGATTGTGTTGTGGTGCACATAGTATTTGGCAGCCACTCGCCCTAGTCCCGTGGCCGAGAGAGTGCTGGACGGACCTGCAACGCTCCTTCGGATAAGGTGTTGTTGGTACAGCATGGTGGTGGCTTTTTGAACGAGTAGCATCCTTGATTCATACAGAGTACTGTCTCTGTTGAACTGGTTGGTGGTAATGCCGTAATGGATTGGATTGCGGCGCATTCTCACAAATAAGAAAGTGTGTCTGATCCATTGAGCAGCAGCGCGCATGTCGGGAATATTTCCTAGCACAATTTCCGCGTTGAGATGGTCCGCAACGCTTTTCTCGAGGGAAGATTCGAGCGGCGTTTGTCTGAGAAGTTGCTTGAGATAGAAGTCAAGTTTGTTGATCTCAGTGATAAGGACTGCATCACCGAGTATGTCAAAGTCGGGACGTCCAGCACGCCCGAAGATCTGAAGCACGTCCAGGATGCCGAGATCTTTATTTTCACCGAAGATCTGGGTACCCTTGATAATGACCTGATGGGCGGGCAAGTTGACACCCCAGGCCAGAGTAGCCGTGGAGCACAGGACGGAGAGGGCACCTTTATGGAAGAGAGTCTCTACCAATCGTCGGTCGGGTCTTGAGAGACCGGCGTGGTGAATTCCAATGCCGTTAACGAGCAGGGCTCTGAGTTGTTCGTGCTGGCATTTTTTTATGTCTTTCATGAAAGAGCCGTCCTTGACTCGGCTGGTGAAGAGGCTGTTGGTTCCGGCTTTTTGTGCCTTTAGGAGTAAAGCGTTAGCGGTTTTAAGAGTCTCATTTCGGCTGTGTACGAAGACCATGCATTGTTTATCATTTTTGAGCGTGGGCACGATTTTATTGTAAGTCTCCTCAACAAGCAAGTCGTTATATTCGCGCACGTTCCGGGCAATTAGGCCCATAATGGTTTGGCGCAGGGGGATGGGTCTGTAGCCGTCGCCAAAGACGAAGACGTTCTCTCTCTTCACTTCGAGGAATAGAGCAACGTCATTGTAATTGGGCAGAGTGGCGCTCAAGGCGACAATGCGGTGGCGTTTCTGGGCGTCAGACATGTAGGAGAAGCTACGTGCGACCGTGGCTTCAAGGATGCTGCCACGGTCTTCGCCGACTAAGTGTACTTCGTCGATGATCAGCAGCTTTAGTGGCCCAAGTGCAGCATCCTTGGCGTTGCGCGTTTGGATGTCCCATTTCTCGGGAACGGTAACGACGACGTGGACCATATCAAGTTCTGGTTTGGTGAGGGGCATGTCTCCAGTGAATTCGGCTACCTTGAGTCCCATGGGGCCGAGTCGGTCTGCGAATTTGTTGGCGATTTCTGTGACCAAGCTTTTGAGCGGTGCCACGTAGACGACCTTGAACTCGTGCGAGGCAGGCGTCCGTCCCTGGAAGGCAAGGTAGGGTCTGAGGGCCTGCATGATGGTCAATAACGCCACATTGGTCTTGCCTGCTCCCGTGGGTGCACAAATCAGCAAGTTCTCGTCGCCTTCAAACGCCGCTTCGAACACTGCACTTTGAATGCGGTTCAGGTTCTTGATGCCGTACATGATGGTTTGGCACCAATCGGGTAGCGAACTGATGGGAATCAACGCGTCTTCTCCCTCCGTCTTCTCCCGGTCGGGGTTGTTGGGGTCGAAGTGCTTGCTCTGCGGCGGGATTATGTACTCTGTGTAACGGGCCTCCTTGTTCACGACCGTACCTTCGGGAAGAGCCGCATCGGTCTTCTTAGGCGCTCCGCCGGCCACTTCCTGCGGCGTCTGGTTGGTGCGCATAGTGAAGTCTAGCACGTCCAGCGCCACCAGGATAGGGAAGTTGTGGCTGTCGACGACAAGAGGCAGCGTCGGGTGCGAAGCCATCTTGTGCTTCAACTTAGCCAACTTATTTTCCACCGTGCGCTCTTCGCGGACTTGGCCCAGGTTTTCGAGAAAGGGCGCGTCCTTGCGGGGCACCTGAGTTGGAGATTGAGAGCTGACCGTCGAGGCGATGCTGCCTGCAGTGTCTACCTTTACATATTTCTTAAAGACCGCAAGCTGAGTAATGAACTTCTGCGTAAAATCCAAGCAGTCCACCAACACCTGTACTCCCACAGCACCGCATTTGCTTTCCACTGCGTCATACACGAACATTGAGTCGCTCTCGCTGCGGTTGTCGATGTGCAGGTCCCACAGAGCCTCTAACGCATCCGTTACCACGACCATGAGAAGCGCCTGTGTGCGCGACCGAATGACATCGTGCTTAATCGCGTCCGCTGTTTTCTCCTGTAACCAGCGTAAAGTTCCATCACCTTTGTCACCCATGATGCTCTGAGCCTCTTGGAAACTTATCGCGTTCAACTGCTCCTGCCAACGACTCTGTCGGTCAGACTCTGCCTTCGTTGGGTTCATACTAAGCAGGTTCGATAACGTAGCATGCACATCATTCCCCGCGGCACTGGCCGCCGGCACAGCTGCTTTGAAACCGTCGAAGTTCAGACCGAAACCCGGATCGGACGTGTCAATTCCCAAAATGCGCAAAATGTCCGACGGCACATCGTCTATTGCCGGCTTGCTTTCCCGCCCTTTATAGCTACTCCGAATATGCGCTGCCAAAGCATCTACCACATCCTGCAAAGCAAAGTTCGTATACTGCTGGTTCGCCTTGGACAGCCGCAATAAAGTCACTCGAGCCTCATAATCAGCATGCCGCTCCAACTCTTCTCTCCAGTCCATAAAGCTCTTTACTAACAACCCGCTGTCATCAAACGCCGACTCCCTCAACAACAAAATGTCTTGAGCACTGAGGTCCTTCACCAACACCAAGGGCCATCCCTCCTCCATTTACAAATACTCGATGCGGAAATCACGCTAGAAAAGCACCCGCGTTGCTAAGCAAGAGACCTGCCTTCCTGAGTGACAGCAACTGCCAGTGATGAGCGTGAACTAATGGCTTACGGGCGGTCATTTGCGACCAAACACACGTGTGTGCTTCACTGAAGCGCGTGTCCGCTTCGCTAAAACACGCGTGTGTGTTGTACTAAAACACGCGCGTGTGCTGTACCAAAACACCCGTGCTTTCTGCGCCAAATGCGAATATCCGGCTCTGCTGCGGTTCTACTCTTTAGTCCCGCACGTTCTGTGTTTCCATACCCAGTAGGGCCTACCTTATAGATTCACAAGTTAGCATAGGTGGCTGGGGATGTCGGCCGATATGTCTACGACGAAATAGATGTGGAATCAGTTATCGACGCCAACCAAGAACAAAAGTTGACCAATTCCATTACTGGCGCGCTCGCTGACGCGCGCGCACAAAAAGAACAGGCTTTAAAGCAATCTTTGGGAATAGCGGACACATCGACGACTGGCGGAGAAGCGGACAAGTTGGGGACAAGTAAACGAACGAGTGTGCCTGGCAAGGGAGTGTTCTCAGTGGTTGATACGATTGGTTTATTGGTATCAATTGTTGCGTTCTTCAATTACAGTGCGCCTCAGATGCAGCCTTTGTTGTCGGCCTGGTTCACTAGCTACGCGGCATTCTACCTGGTATGGAGCGCCTTGGATAACATGATACCTTCAATGCTTTCGAATTATTCGTTTGTTCTGTATCTGGTATCCCTTTCTGTTGCTGGCTGTGCGTCCAGAGTAGCTCCCGTCTCTCAAGAGATCTATGTTCTACGACTGGCTGCGGTCTACATTGCAGAGGTCCTGGTCGGAATTGTGGGTATTGAATACTGGGCGGTGAATCTTCTCATAGTGCTGGCTGCCCCCATGCTGGCCTCTCCCATGGTGACCGTTCCTGTGCTTGGGACATTGAATTTCCCATTGACAACGGAGCTGGCATGTTCGTGCTATGGCATCGTAGCCTCCATCAGCAGCCTCTCATGTCTCCAGCTTCAACCCTTTGCATTTCTAGAGAATTTGATGCCTACTCTGAAATCTTCCCTGCCGTGGAATTGGACTTGGCTGCTTAGCCGGCTTGGCCGGTTTGTTGTACTGGCTGCTCTTTCAGCGGCATTCAACCTTTACCGGTAAGGACTGGCGGGTAGTTGACTAGGGTAGCAAGCTAGGGGTATAACTCTGATCATGACGACATGGAGATCCGTTTCAGGTTTAACCAACGTCGGTTCGGTCGTGCCGACTCTGACAGGATAAATGTGTGAGACGTGCTGGTTGAGAAAACCATAATGGAGTATTGCCCTACCTGCGGTCAGCGGATTCCCGCAACTTGCCCGTGTTGCGAGCATGACGCAAGATGCCTGGGCGTCCGCGAATGGTACTTAGGGCCCCCGATGAAGTTCAAAAAGACAGTTTACTACGGACCGGACCTGCCGCCGAATCCGGACCCACGGGACTACTTCCCGCCACCGCTCGCCTGCGACAGGGCCGCTGCAGCGCAGCCTGCTTGCAACGACCCGGAATGCCAATTTAGGTCCCCCAACGTTCCTCGAACAGCGACTCAGTCAGCCGCCTGTGCTCGGCCTGCAGGTTACACCCAACCTGCGGCTCAGCCGGCAGATAACAGCTCGCCTGGCTACGGTCAGCCGTGCTATGGGCCCAGCGGGTACTTCGTCCCTCAGCAATGCAGCCCCCGACAACCCGACTCTTCGTACGAAGCGGCGCCGTCAGGGGCTCCGGCAGGGCAGAGATGGAACTGGAAGAATTTGTTTCCTTGGAACGGCCGACAGGACGCGGGTCGACAGGCCCCGGCCTTCACCGCCCCCGCGCGTAGATTGCCGGCTCAAGGGGTGCGGTTGCCAGTGCAGAGCGTGCGACCCGACTGGGGTGTACGTGGCCCCAGCGTTTCCGGTACCCGGGCGGCGCCGGTGTATGCGATGGACACGACTACGCCGTCCGGTTGGCGCCTGATGAGTGGCGCACCGGACCTGTGCAGCGCCTGCCAAACGGGCAACGGAGATTGCTGCTGCAAGGCAGCCTCCGACCTACAAGGCACGCTGCGTGCGGCCAAATTGGTTACGCCGGCTGGGGCGCCCGATGAACAAACGGCCGACGTGGACGGGCACAAAGTCGCGCACCGCAAACAGTGGGACTCCGCCGTGGAGGAACTCCTTACCAAGGAACCCCTCCACATCCATACCGTCATCCTGCCGCCAGGCATCTCGCCCGGCGACCCGCGCTTAGCCAACGCCCGAGTCGTCGCGCAACGTACGTACACCACCAACGCACCCGAGTTCCCCAAAGAGGCCTTCTACGGCTCCATCGACCCCGCACTCGGCGTCTCTTTTTCCAACTAAGCGTGTCACCTTTAACCCGCCACGGGAGGGTCGTCCCTCCGGTCCTGAAGGGTCGTCCTGAAGGGTCACCAGTCGGGACCCCACGCCGGTGGTTAGCATTTCATCTGCGAGGCATCTGGCACGGTTCGCGGTCGTAGTCCTTCCCGCAATGAAGCCGGTATCAGCGTGTCGCCTGCGGCAGTGCCGAGCCATCTTTCAATTGGTAACGATGGTTCCACCGCCATGGCGGTATCATGGGGGTATCGCAGTGGTAGCAGCTTTGCGCACGGGTAGAACAGTTGCTTTCTCCATGCCATAAAGACTGGTAGTGATAAGGCTTCCAGCTTGTCGTCCGGGAGTGCTGCGTGAGAGTCCTGTCCCACTCGGGGCGCTATAAATTTATGAGCTGGTGTTTGGAGCAGAGATGAGTGGAAGAGAAAGTGGTTTGTGAACCCCGTGCGGATATCACTATGCCTCCACGCAAGAGTTGCTGTTCGCTGAACGCAGTGCAACGGAGCGCTGGCTTACACAGGCAAGTATTTGGTGGCGCTTCTCCCGGGCCAACCCGGGTTTGAAAATAGCGTTTCCGCCTGCCGGGCCGAAGGGGATTTCCCCATCGAAAATCCAACCTACCAAGGGAGATTTTTTTGTCCAGATGCAGCCGGCTGAATTCAACGCTGCTGGCGGCGGCCAGCGGACAAGTGGAGAGCAAGGTCGCTCTCCCAATCAAATGCCGAACCAGCCGCCCAACCAGCAACAACAGGTAAGCAATTTTTCCCGCCGAATCTGCCGAATTCCCTTCCATTGAATTCTCTAATTTCAAAACCCGCGTGCACACGCGTGTGCACACATCTATGGTTACTTATTCTCCCGTTTTAGGTTGGAGCCAACAGGTCCTACAACTTCGCCGGCAACTATGGCATGTATTATCCGTATGGAGGCTACCCGCCGGGTTACGGAGCGCAGTTCCAGCAGTATAACATGTATGCATGCTATAATGCGGCGGGAGGCGCCAGCGGCGGAGCGGGAGCGCAGCAGCAGCAGCAGGCGGCGCCCGCCAGCTACGGTGGGGGCGGTGCAGCGAGTGCTAGCCCGGCCTACCGGGCGATGGCGGCGCCGCCGCCGGCGGCTTCTCCTCAGACGTCCCCGCAGCAGGGATCAGCTGCTGGTATGTATTTGCCGGGGTACCCTGCGATGCCAGGCAGTTACAACGGCTACCGGCAGCCGCAAATCCAGACAACGAACCGGACGGGGGCCGCGGGCCGCCCGGCCGCTGCGACGACGACGCAGTATAATTGGACGCCGATGTACGGAAGTGCGCTGATGCAGCGGCAAACGGAGCCGCACCAGGCGCAGCAGGTGCTGTACCCTCGGAGCGCAGGCGCGACGGTCCCGCCGTCGGTCTCTCCGCGCGCCCTGCGCACACGCGCTACCAACACCGCTTCTAAACGCAAGGGCCGTAAGGGCAGCGACGAAGATATGGATGAAGACATGTTGGCGGCCAGCGACGAAGATGACGACTACGTTCCGGCCACCAGTCGCCGCCCTCGGCCGACACGTGCCACTGTAGAGGCGCGGCGAAAACGCAAGAAACAGGAAACCTCCAGCGAAGAGGAAGCCGACTCAATTGACGAAGCAGACGACTACCCCAAACGTAAGCAGCCTGTTTGTGTCCTGGACGAGGTCGTCCTCCACCCCGCCCCACCTCTGACCATCGACAAGATCGTCGCCCACGTCGACTACTGGTGGGACCAGGCTTCTGACTTCCTTTATGAGATCCCTTCCTTCGGAGACGCCACTCTTGACAGCAAGAGGGCAGACGCCATGGGCGCCGATAACTCCGTCATACGCGGTGAGTCCGACAAGGAAAGACGCAGCCAGGCCACCAGTCCCGCCTCTTCTCTCGCCCACGGTTCACCCGTCGCCTCCGGCGCCGCATCTGGTACCGCTTCACCGGTGGCTCCAGCTACCGAAAACGCGGCAGCTTCGTCGGGCGCTGGCGCACCAGAGGAGGCCAGTGGCGCGACTAGCGCAACTGAGTTCAGCGTGCACCAGTCCGCTCTGGCTGATCATGTCATGGATACCAAGTTGGAATCGGCCGAGCTCGAGTCGACCAAAATAGAGTCCGGTGCGGCGGCCGTGGACACCAAGTCCGAAGTGGCGGACGTGGCCACGGACGCGGAGACGGCTGCGGTGGATTCTGTGAACAAGAACGGAGCTGCGGAGGAGTCTGAGCCACTGCGGTGGAGTTTTGAGCGGGCGCCGGTGGAGGGTTGCGAGCGGTTGCGTAAGTACGTGGTGAAGTGGAAGGGGCTGTGCCACCTGAAGAACGAGTTGTGGACGTATGAGGAGTTGGTGGAGAGGAACGCAGGCGGTATTAAGAAGTTGCAGAACTACATGAAGAAGCAGGAAGAATTGGAGCAGAAGAAGCTATATTGTGGCGAAGACGAGATCGAGCAGATCAACATCGCAATCGAGTTGCAGCGGCAACTCGACCAAGACGCCCAGATCCCCGACCGGATCGTAACGGACCGGAGTGTGGAGCCTACGGCGAACGTACCGCCCTCTGGTCGCGGACCGGTGGCTAAGGAGGTGGTGTACTTGGTGAAGTGGCAGGCGAGCAGTTACGACCAGGCCACGTGGGAAACAGGCGACTTTCTGAGGGAACAGAATTTCGACTACCTGCTGCAGGAGTACCAGGAGCGGGAGTCGCGGGCAACGGGTATCGGGAGTGCAATGTTGCCTCTGAACCAGCATGACTTATCGGAGACCAGTTTCGAGCCTTATCGGAGCACGCCATGGTACATGGGAAGCAAGCAGAGTCCGATTGAGTTGCGTGACTACCAGTTGGTTGGTGTGAATTGGATCATTTCGCGGATGAAGAAGGACCTGTCAGTCTTGTTGGCTGACGAGATGGGTTTGGGAAAGACCGCTCAGACGATTACGGTGATCGGACACTTGTTGTTTGTGGAGAAAATTGCGGGACCCATTTTGCTCATTGTGCCTCAGTCGACAATGGACAACTGGCTCAGCGAGTTTAAGAAATGGTTGCCTAAGGCGAATGTCATTTTGTATCATGGGAACCCACAGGCGCGTGAGGTCGTGCGGCGAGAGGAGATGAAAATCGTCAAGGCGCAGGATATGTCGAGACAAGCATACGAGTCGTTTCGGCAGCCGATTTCGCGTTTGACGGATATGACTTCGCACGAGCTGAAGACTTGGATTACCAACCGAACAAGGTTCCGCTGTGACGTGGTGATTAGCACGCCCTCTATCTTCCAGTGGGGCGACGATTTGGTGACGTTGCGGAATGTGCATTGGTACATGATTGCCGTGGACGAGGCGCATCAGTTGAAGAATCGCGAGAGCAAGCGGTTTCGTGAGCTGTGCGAGTTTCGCGCGCGATATAAGCTCTTGCTGTCCGGTACGCCGTTGCATAACAACCTAGAGGAATTATGGTCATTGTTACACTTCATGAACCCTTCTATTTACGGGGACCTGAATCAGTTCAAATTGCGTTACTCAGAGGTGGAGAAGACGCAGTCTACGGGCGAGTTAAAGCAGCAGCAATTGGCTACGTTGCAGAAGGACTTGAGCAATATAGTGTTGCGGCGCGTGAAGAAGGACGTGCTCAAGTCGCTGCCGAGCAAAGTAGAGTGGATTCTACGAGTTGAGTTGTCTCCTGCGCAGAGCAAGTTGTGTCAGGACGTGGTGTTGAGAAATTACGAGGCCCTGAGCAAGTCGACAGGCGGCACGAAGGTGTCGCTGCAGAACATTTGCGTGGAGCTGAAGAAGATATGTAACCACCCGTTCCTGATCCACGCGCCGGATGATCGGGAGACGTACAACCGTGAGATCCTGTGGTCTTCGGGCAAGATGTGTTTGTTGGACAAGTTGTTGCGTCTGATGAAGGATAAGGGGCACCGCGTGTTGATTTTCAGTCAGATGGTGAAGATGTTGAATATCCTGTCCACGTTCTTAACGTTGCGGGGGTTCAAACACCAACGACTGGACGGCACCATGTCCCGGGACGTGCGGAAGAAGGCAATGGACCAATTTAACGCGCCGGATTCCGAGGACTTTTGTTTCCTGCTTTCGACCAAGGCGGGCGGGTTAGGTATAAATCTGACGACGGCAGACACGGTGATAATTTACGACAGTGACTGGAACCCGCAGAACGACTTGCAGGCGGAGGCGCGTGCGCACCGAATCGGGCAGACTAAGCCCGTTCAGATCTATCGGGTGGTGACAAAGGACTCGGTTGAGGAGGATATTTTGGAACGTGCTAAAGCCAAGATGGTGTTGGATGCGTTAGTCGTACAAGGATTGAACACGAATGCGGATTCGAGTGTGCTTAGTAGCGCCAAGCAGGCTAACGGGTTCAGTCGCGAGGAGTTGGCTAAGATTTTGAAGTTCGGTGCGACCAAGCTCTGGCAAAAGGGTGCGGACGGGGTAGACGTCAACGGAGACCCGTTGGCGGCGGAGATTGACTTGGATAAGGTCTTGGCAGAGGCGGAGCCGCAGCAGGACGACTTGGGTAGTCGCGCGGGCGACTTGCTGAATTCGTACAGCAACGTCACGGACTTCCGGTACGAAGGGCGCGACGAGGACAAACTGAGTTGGGACAGCGTGGTGCCGTTGGAGGAGCGACTGAAGTTCCAGGAGAAGGACGAGAAGAAGCGACGCAAGGAAGCGGCGCCGGCGGTGAAGCAGACGCGGGCGAAGCGTGTGCGAGTCGTCACGCACAACTCCGACGACGAGTACGTGGTCAATGACGATATAGAGTCCGGGGACTCGGCGACGGCGGCCGCGGCCAAGCCGAAGCGGGTGCCGA